AGGTTTGCTGTAGCGCGAGCTGATAGCGCCAGTCCTCTGACTTACCTGTAACCTTAATCCCTCTGCTGAGCTCTTGCACGCTGACACATTTGGCAGCTCTTCTGCTGGAGCCGGAGAGAGCTGCAACTCGCTCAGCTTACGTGCACAGAGCTGCCCCTCTGCAGCGTGTGACTTGGCAGCGAAGGAGGCGCATGAGACCAGCGCGTCCATTCCTGGGAAGGCTGCTGGACGGCAGGGCTGCTGGATCTGCTGTAGGCAGGTGACTCACACCCAGGGCCTGCGGGCACCTGGTGGAATGCAGTAAAGAAGCTGGGTGGTCGGTGATTCAATGTGATCTCTGGCTCCCCACCCAAGCAGCACAACCGCCTGCCCCTTCCTGCCCTCCTCCAGCTTCTCCTGCTCTGGCTTCCCCGGGAAGCCCTGTCTGCCTTTGATGCCTCCATACCGCGGGCTGCTCTCGCGAAGCCTGTAAATCCTGTTGCTCCCTTCATCTTCAAGACCTGGAGTCAAAACCTTCTCTGGCTGTGGCTGGAGCTGATGATCACTGCAAAGCTGTTCGGCTGCGTCTTGTGTCTGCCTAAGTGTCTGTGGTGTAAGTTCTGCAGGGCTGGTGTTTTCACCGGTCTGCAGTATGCCAGGGTGCCTTCTGAGTGATGAAGGACAAAGATCAAACCCTGCTGTAACACGCCCTTTGCTGGGTGGCAGGGCTGTGTCCTTTCTGCCTTCACCTGCGCTGGTCAGAAGAATGCCTGGCCCTTCCCTGGTGATCCTGGTTGCCCATCTGCTACTGAAGGCTAAAAGTAAATGAAAGCTGAAAGGGATTTCCACAGAAATATTTGGGAGGGAAAGGCTGTTTCAGCTGGCAAACATTGTTGTACAACCTGGAGCTAAAGGAGAAGGAATTGACTTGAGCCTGGGGGTGAGAAGGCAAATAGAGCGATGCTGTTCTGGTTTCTAGTTGGAGCAATTTCCAAATGTGGCAAAAGGAAGGGTTAAAAAAAGTTTTAAGCCTTGGCTTAAAAAGTAAATGAAAAGGGAATTTGATGAGCAGAGACTGTTCTGGGTGTCTTGGGAGGTTCTTTCCTGGCTGAAAAGGACACTCACTGTCTCAGCCACAGCTGCCCCAGAGGATGCTGTCAACACCCTCTGGCTTTGTGCTAAAGCTGTGTGAGATGTTCTCTGCATCCTGCCCTGCCTGGCCCTTTGTATGCTTGCAGTGTGTTACCTGTGGTGGTGAAAACCTTCACCTTTGTTTCTCCTTGTTTTTCTGCAGGAATGGGAACCACAGATCACGTCATAGTGCTGGCCTCCACCAACCGTGCTGATGTCTTGGACAACGCCTTGATGAGACCTGGGAGGCTCGACAGGCACATCTTTATTGATCTTCCAACACTCCAGGTATATTCCACCTACTGCCCTGTCCTTACTGTAGCGCTAATGACTAAGGTGTCCCAGACCTTGCTGGTGATTCACTGGCCTGGCAAAGGCTGAGCTTGGAGAAAATGGGGATGGTAAGCATCTGTTTGCCTTTATTCTTATTTATGTGCTCTGAATCAAGGATTTGACGTGCTAATGCAGTTGCTTGTTTCTGTGAAATAACAACTCACTGTTTTTCAGTGTTTCTGCTCTGGTATGAGCTTTGGCAGTGAATTCTTCTGTGAGGTTTGTGTCTTCTCTCCAGGAAATTGGGAACCACCTAATTGGCAAGTTGGCTTGTGTGAGAACTGAAATTGTCATGTGCCTTGAGCACCATTTGTTCTGTAGGTTTATTGTCCTCACTATCCTTGTGAAGCTCCTCATTTCCCTTTAGGCAGCCTGTTAAGTGACTTTCTCCTTCTGAATGCTTTTTAAACCCATTTACTAGGAGTCTTCCATGTCCACTGTGTTGACATTTGTAACAGAGTTTTGGGAACAGGCTCAGCTGCAGTAAAAGATCTGTCTGCTCTGCCAGCACAGGCTCTTCTTTTCCCATCTGTGCTTTATTGCCGTCGTCAGAGTTTTCAGTTAAAATACCTTAAATGCCTGGTACAGTCTGGCACCGGAACCGTGAACAGTGCAGCTGCCCTGAAGGAGGAAGGGGAAAAACCCTGGCAACTGAGCCCATTGTTTTAATCAGGATCTCCTGAACCAGCTGAACCAGTCACTCCCTGGCTGCTTGCCAGCTGTCATCTCACCCCCACCTTTGTCTGGGAAATGGTCGCGGGCTAAGTAGCTAGTCAATGGGGTTTTCGTTTGTGGGGTGTGAGGGAGCAGGTAGAGGTAGCTGGAGCTCTTCCTGCAAGTCCTTTTATAGTAAGAGAAAGTTAAGACAGATCAGAGTGAAAGTTAGGAGAGAATGTCCCTGGGAGAGAAAGCGGTGACTCACGGTAAGCCTCCATACATCTGTTCTGAATTTGAGAGCTGGGTGTTTATCAGAGCTCCTGTTGCCCTAAAACGCCCAGGACAGCCCTGCCCTCTGGTGGCAATGTCACCATCCCCGCTTCCAGATCTCTGCTCCTCTTCTGCTCCCTGCCATGTGTCGAAACTGCCAGGTTGTGAGGGCTTGCTGGGATCAGGTGTTCTGTGTTCTTTACAGGAGAGAAGAGAGATCTTTGAGCAGCACCTGAAGGGGCTCAAGCTGATCCAAGATGCCAGCTTCTACTCACAGCACCTTGCTGAACTGACTCCTGGCTTCAGCGGTATGACATGCTGTGTCCCCATGGGACTGCTGCTGCGCTACTCCGGCTGCTCAAGCTGGAGCTGCTTGGTTGCTTAGTTTCAGCAGGGTATTTTGGTCTGAAGGTCTTTTTCCTTCAAGCCTTCTCCATCTCTTTGGAAATAGTGGTAACTAACCAGCTCCCTGGTGAATGGAGCTGTGATGAGCAATTGTTCGTGGCTATTTTCAATCTTCTGAAATTTCTGTGACTAGGAGGGTGTGGGGGTAGGGAAAATACCCTTTTACAATGCTTGAGTTCCTCGTTTCTAAGGGGAAGAACCACTGCTCATGCTCCTGTCCAAGCTGTTGTTGAGAATGAGATGTTGCACTTCAGGGGAAAGACTCTTAAGTTGACATATGTTACCAGGAGGGTGATAGGAGGAATGAATAGCAATTGCTTTGTCGGTCAGAATAGAAATTGGACAACTCTGCCTGGCTCTTGCGTTGAGCCTGTTTCCAGGGTAGGTCCCTGGGAGTTTGAAGGAGTGCTGAGCAAGGGGCTCCAGAGTTCCTGTTTATGTGGAGTTCCTGGAATATCCTTTCTGGGTTTCCCCTCTAACAGGCCCCAGCACACACTGCCTCTTCGTGACTTCTTTCAGCAGCCCCCCGCCACCATCACCCACACACACACACAAACTCAGAACAGATGTTCTTTCTCTTCCGCGCAGAGGTTGTGCGGTCGCTGCATGAACAGTGCGGCAGCCCATGCCAGCCCAGGCTGCCCACGCCACTCCCCAGTTGCTGGGAGCCAGCCTTGGCTTTGGCCTCATAATTGACTGCTGAACTCTGTCCTCCGTGTGGCAACGCAGCGTTCATTGCCAAGGCGCTTGTATTGTTCACATCCAACATAAACACCATGGACTAGATTTGCTCTCTGTTCCCAGGGAACAAAAAATTGCAGACTATTTGCCTTCCTTAGGTCCTTCTCCAGATTTTTTTCTTCCCTCTTCTGTCCTCTGAAATCTGTCACATAAATCCAACGCTATTCTTGTAAACTCTTGTCTACAGGAGCTGACATAGCGAATATATGTAATGAAGCTGCTCTTCATGCCGCTAGAGAAGGTCACAAATCCATCGACACTTCCAACTTTGAGTATGCTGTGGAAAGAGTCATTGCAGGTAAGCGACCCAGCCATTTCTGGTTTTGTCTTACTGGTCTGTATCACGCTTCTTAAGAGAAGGCTCAAGGGAGTGGGTTACATTCGAGAAAGACAGGTGGGTCCTAGCTGTGCCCTGTCGCGTAGAGCTGTCCTGAAGGTCCTAGATGCCATAGTCACAAGAAGTTCTCTGAACGAGCCCTCAGATGGATCCATCTTCCTGAATCTGCAGGCAGCCTGAACCACTAGCTCAGGGAGGATGGCCGGTAGCAAAACAGTCAAGAGAGGAATTCAAATCTCTGTGGCTTTTTCAGTTTAAAAGGCTTTTTTTAAACAAAAAAAAAAAAAAGTGGAAGTATTTCTGGGTTTTTCTTGCTCATCTGGACACCTGCTTCATAAACATGAATAGCAAATAGGCTACGCATCCTCAACAGCAAGAAATTGGAGACTTTTCCTTTTGGCCTCAAAGCCTGGGCTTTGGTGAATTGGCAGAATAAACTGAAAGACAGTAGAGTACTGTTCTCCCTCTGAGAACATCCTGTCGGCCTTTCCCTCTTGTTTGTGTGCCTGCCAGCAGAGGAACCTCTGGAGATTACCCTGCAGCAGTATATTACAGGGAGGGGAAAAAGAGTTCCCAGAACTCTTGGCTTCACCTGAGGGATTTGACTCTGGTGGGTTTGGGTCTGAACTGCCCTGTTAGCCAAGCCTCTGTTTTCGTCGTCAGCCACTTCACTGCTTCCAGGCTGCAGTGTCGTTGCCAGGGGTGAGCCTGGGCACACAGGCTGCCATGCTGCGCTTTTAGTAGAGGATGTGGAACAGGATGTTTGTACTGGGTCAGTTATTTCCTGACCCTGGAATTTAGTCCTGAGTGTTTGATTTATCACAGAATGCCTAAACAATTCCTCATTTCAAAGAAGATTTTTGAGAAAGTTCTTGACGGTTTCACCTGCCTCTTAAAATACAAATCACTCCAAGGGTTTTGTTAAGTGGCCACACTTGCATGAAGCCCAAGCTGTGCTCAGCAGCTGCCAGGAGTGGACAGCAAGACGACTGTAGCTGTAATGCAGAAGTCCTCGTCAGACAGAGCAAACACATGCTTTGCTTTCCCATCTGCAGGAGAGAAAGCACCAAACTTGTAGGGATCCACCTTGCTTTTCTTTCTGAGTTCCACCCTTGTCTTCGTTCCCCAAACTTGTAAGATGAGGCAAAAAGCAAGTACGGCCCCAGGGGACGTGCAGCAGCAGGGAGATCTGGGGTGGGTGCGGTGGGGCATTGCAGGGCATTGCCGTTTCACTGCTGACAAGCTGCCTTGCCTCACTGCGGCTCTGTGGCGTGCAGGAGGCCATAAAGTCTTTTTGTTGCTTAATTGGATTCTTTCATATTAGCAGGACCTGCCTGGTTTTTTGTGGACTAAGTCTGAAAGACCCCAAACAACCCTCCAGGCCCATATATTAAGTGTACCCTTGCCATGTAATAGGAGTGCTTCTGGGTTTCACAATCCAGAGGGCATTTCAGCTGCTACAAAAGCTTTTCTTGAAAGAAACAAGATATTACTGTGCTTTCCATTAGATGCTTCTGGTTTCAATAAGAGTGGTGTGGAATCAAAAGGGAACTTTGCAAGTCCAGAGGCCTCGTTGGCCTTAAAGCTTTGTCTTGCTGTAAGGGAGGAGTAAGAACTCTCTGTGGTAGTCCCCATTGTGTTTTTTGCTTGGGAACAGAAAGCAGGCAGTAAGTCAGGTCTCCTGGGAGGGAGGGAGGAAACCTGCTGAGTGCACAGAGGCTTTGAGGGGTTGTCTTTAGATGTAGTGGAGCCTGTTGTCTTGCTGGGCTTTGTGTACACTGTGTAGGGCCAGCGAAGATGCACCAGAGTTGTTTCCTGGGTTGTTTGTCTCGTAAATGTGATAAGTACAGGCCTTCAGAGAACTTCCCAGCGTGGAGATTATGTAGGAAAAGAAATAATCTTTGTAGGCACGCTGTGTGCTGCTGTGAAGAGTACATTCCCTCCGTCCTTGGTGGGCTGGGGGAGGAATGCTTCCAGAATTTTTTAAGAATGTGTGTGTGTATATATATACACATCCTATATATATAGTATCTTTCTGTGGAAAGAGCCCTAAAGGCACACATGCACACGCTGATGAAGGCAGGGTCCGGGACTGACTGATGACAATCAAGGCTGTTGCAATGAATCTGCTATTCCTGCTTCCTCACAGTGGTTTCCAGGGTCCCTGAGCAGTAATTTTACAAGATCTGCCACACTAATTTTGCTGTTTTCTTGTTTAATAAAAGCTCTTGACTTTGTTTAAAAATTAATGATAATAGAACGTTGTTTTCTAAGACATCAAGCAAGCTTGGTGTAATGCTGCTGTGACTCTGCCTGTTCCACCCCCCGCTGCCCCTGGCACTGCGGAGACACGGGCTTTAAATGCTGGTACCTTCTGCATTCACAACGCGGGGCTATAATGAGCACTTGATACGCAGTTAACGTGTTTCCTAAGTGCTGGAAGTTTTACCTCCATCCATTGTTCTTTTTTTTTTTTTTTTTTTTTTTAAATTCTAATTGGACTTACTCTGTGTTACTGACTACTGAGTTGGAAAATAGACACTTCCAAAAATCCCCTTTTTGGAGGAAGTATTAAGTGTGAGTTATGGCTTAATTTGCTAGTTCTCAGCAGCCTGGGAATAAGCACATACAGAGTATGCCATGTGTAATCAGAGACACTTCCAGGGTCTGGAGAAAGTGAAAGACCAAGAGTATACATAAAAATCTGGTTTTAAAACTCCTAACACACAAGAATCTCAGCTGGGACCTCTCATATATAATGCAACATCTTGCTTCTCTCACGTTCTGCCTCAGGGACTGAAAGAACATACAGTAAAATCAGTATGATACTCTAGTTAGTCTCTGTTTCGTTTTGTTTTTTTTTTTTTCCCAAATGATAAACTGACTTGTTGCAGACCTGTCCCTGGGCAGAGATGGAGCGTAACATGCCTTTGGCAGAGCTGGGAACAGAACAGAGCTTTGCGTTCTAGAGATGCAGTCTAGTCGAATGTTAAATTATTTGTCTAATGATTAAGTCTGTTGCAAGGAGGAGAGGGGGGAAAAGTTTCTGCCAGTGTTTTAAAGCGATCCAAGCGTGGTGCTGCAGGGGCAGAGAGCACCTCTTCCACAGCGTGTCACGGAAGGGCTTTTTACTGCCTCTCCCTAGACGGCGTGCGGTCTGAAGCTTGCTGGCTGTTCAGCCACGGACTGTGCTAGCTCGTGCACTTGGCTGTGCAGGATTATGTCCTACTGGTTACACCAATTGCCATCTATCTGATCGAATCCTCGTCTGTGTTCCCATAGGCACTGCCAAAAGGAGTAAGATCTTGTCCCCAGAAGAGAGGAGGGTCGTGGCGTTCCATGAATCGGGTCACGCGCTGGTGGGGTGGCTGCTGGAGCACACCGAGGCTGTGATGAAGGTAACGCCACTGCCAGCTCTTGTGTAATGAAGCCTGTCACGGGGTGGGAAGAGAATCCTTTGTGGTTCCCCTGTCCAAGACGCGTCAATTGTTCTCTAGCACTTGAATTAAATTGTGCCACGTTACCCTGGCCTCTGTGAGCATGGACCTGTGAAGACTGCAGCAAAATAAATGGCAAATATGCTGTGGAGAAATCTGTTGTCCAGCTCCGTCGATGCCAGTGACGGTGCAAAGCTGATTAACCAGCTGTAGGAGAAGCCTTGCAGTTAACAGCCAACTGTAAAGCGCTTTGGAGCAACAGAGTCCCCTGATGCTGCCGCTCAGTTCAGGCGCAGAGCACTGCTCCGGGTTTTTTCCCTGCCACCACTTGCCAGCACGACAGCCAGCGAAGTGACCGTTGCAGGCACTGCTCTGATCCTGGTGGAGAGAGAGGTGTTTTTCAGATGGGCCTG